ATTTTTCACTCTCGCTTGAGAAAAAAAATATAACAATATATATAACACATATATATATATATATATATATATATATATATATATATATATATATATATTTCTGCCAAGAAAGTCAGAAATTTTGAGATTAATCTCAGAAGTTTTCTAGAAAAAAACAAGAATATTTCTGAGTTTAAAAAGTTAAACATTTCCTATAAAAAATAAATCAGAAATTTTCTAGAAAAAAAAAAAGAAATTTCAGAGTTTCAAAGGGTGAATATTCCATATAGAAAAATTTTGAGTTTTTCTAGCAAATTTGTGACTTTTCAAACTCAAATTTCCACATTTTTTCCTAAAAATGTCTGAGCTTTTTGGTGGAAGTTTTCAGCTTTAATGCGCCGTTGTAACAAAATGTTTAATCATAGTGAGGGAAAGTTTTTATTCAGATTTAAGCAGCCGATGGCGATAGAATATGAATAATCTCAGAAATCTACGGCGCTCTTTAGAGGACATGGGGGGAACTTGTTGCCTCCAGGTGATGTGTGACCTTTGACCCACCTGGCTGGCCTCCACCTGCAGACTGGAGGAGGCTTTGTTGAAGACGTGGTCCCACCAGTGGAAGCTGAACTGCTCTCCTTCTCTGTGGCCGATCTGAAGGAACAAACAGCTCCTCGCTCTGATTCCTGCAGATGTTTACAGACCCAGAGCTGCCGGTCGACTCACCCCTCCTTTGTCACATTTGACCTTGACCTTGATGGCCTCTGATATGCCGTTCTCCGCTCGGCCAAGTCCTTTACCTGGAGAGAGAGAGCGGACCCAGTAAGAACCAGACTGGTGACTGTTACCTGCTGGTTTCTGAAGGTTTTTCTCACCGCGTTCCCAGCCGTGACTCAGGAGCAGCTGCTCTGCAAACTTCAACCCTCGGCTTTTCTCCTGCTCAGCTTCAGCCATCTGAGCGAGAAAACCAACGAATTAAACACATTCACAGCTGAAACTGCATCTAATTTAATCTGTTTAGTTAGTTACTGCAGAACAAACAGCAATCCGAACATTTCTGGCACCAATATTCACATCAAAATAGGAAAATCCAACCATTTTCTAGGTACGTTTTCATACTTTTGTAGCATCACACAGACGAAACTTTCAGAATCAAGCGATTTAATTCACAAACAATTTTACTATTCAGTCAAGAGATTCTGCTTAAAGACCGTGTAAACCAGGGGTGGCCAAGTCCAGTCCTCGAGAGCCACCATCCTGCAAGTTTTAGAAGTATCCTTACTCCAACAGACCAGGATCAGCTCTACAGAGGCCTGATAACGAGCCATTCATTTGATTCAGGTGTGTTGAAGCAGGGATGCATCTGAAACTTGCAGGATGGTGGCTCTCGAGGACTGGACTTGGCCACCCCTGGTGTAAACAAACGGAACATGTCATTTCCATTAGTTATATTTCTAAAAACGTCGCTCAGTTTATTTTTCAGTTATTAATAATCACAGGAGGCTCCGGAGGTTTGAGGATCTCTGCACTATAAGACCTTCACGGTTTGGATAAAATGCTTTTTAGTTCAAACAGCAGCAACACGTTAGCTTTAGATCCAGTTAAACTGACAGTTTTAGGGATGAACTCAGAGTTTTACCCTAAAATATAAACCACTGACGTCATCCAAACATGTCCGTCATAAGCAGCATCGCTGCATTAATCCCGAAAAACTCAACAATGAAACCGGGTTCATGTTAAATCGCAGAAGAAATGTTTAACGGACCTTTTCTTCACGTTTTGTTTTGTTGAAGTTGCCTCACCGGTGGCTGGGAAAGACCCACGTGTTTCCTGAATGAAACCGGAAGTACATTTCTTCTTCTTCAAACGCCTGGACGCTTTACCGCCACCTACTGGAATTCACCATGAACGATCCCAAATGTAGAAGAAAGACAGATATTTGTCCAAATGTGCCAAAAATTATACTCAATTTATGGTTAAAAACGAGCCGTTCAAGATATTTTAATAATAATAAAATATCTGAATATATGTAAATAGTATTAAATATATGAAAAGGCAACTCAAGTACTGAGTAACTGATGATAAAATGATTTAATGTTTAAAAAAATATATAGATAAATAGGTACAACTATTTATCTACATAGATAGCAGAATAGTTATGTGCAGATTCTGGCATTTTGAAGACGAGAATAAAAAAGTTTAACAATTTTCTAAATAAATTTGTTCCAACATCAAATTTATGAAACAAATATTCATATTATGGGATGCCGTTTGTAAAGTTACACAGTAAATGAACAACAATAATTCGGTTTATTTGACGTGTCATAAAGAACAAAATGTGTACCAAAAAAAGGTTTGTGGTGCATTTCTATGCTAAAGAAAAATATATAAAACTTCAAATATTTCACAACGAGATATTAACTCAGAAAATTTTGAGAAGAAACTTATAAAAACTCACAGTTGAAAAACAGGTGAATAGGTGAATTAAGTTTGGGATCTTACAACAAATTGTCAGCAGGTGGCAGCATTTCTCACCATAAAAGAAAGAAAAGCACAATATATGTGGAGGTGATTCATCTGACAATTAAAATGGATTACTGCCTGCCTTAAAGCGTGTTTTACTAAAAAAAAGTTCAACTAATCCACCTGCTTTGTTTTCTGTCTGATGAGATGAAAAGCATTTTGTGATTTTTATAGAAAGTAAATATAATGGTTTATTATAGATAAAACTCAAAAAATTTCAAGGGTTAAAGCTGCATTGTGTAACTTATAAAACATATATGCGTATATTTTTACATACTTATAATGTAATAACAGTATATTATGAGACATATAATCTATGAAAATATAATTCTCCTCCATCTCATCCCTGAGCTGAAGAATTCGGTGTCAGTCATCTCATATACTTGCTGCTAAATGTGCTATTAGAGAAGAAACACATTACAGTTACAGGGAAAGTATTTCTAAAGCATCATCGGTCAGAATGCATGGACTGGATCTTTAGGATTCATGACAGACTCTGCTAGCTGTAGCAGGATGTGTTAGATTGATTAGCGCTGTCAATCAACATCATGTACCTGCTGCTAAATGTGCCATTAGCGAAGAGACAGCTTAGAGCTACAGCAAAATGTACCTGCCATTATCAGTTGCTATGCTAACTAGGTTTAGCAAGAAGGGGAACAGAAGAGGATGATTAACAGCGCTAAGGCCCGCCTCCTTGTTCTGATTGGTTGTTTCAAGTTAGTATTGGGAGAAGGCAGAGGAGCTTGATTTTTTTACAGATTGCCTGTCTCATATTATAATGTCATAAAATGACAGTTTCAACAAATATGTAAAAATATATTTATATAAAAGTTACTGCAGCTTTAAATGTTTTCCTTTCTTTTTATGTTTTTAGTTGGAAAGCCGACCGCGTTTATCTGCTCAACCAGCAGAAACCAGTCAGGCTGAAATGTTTCCAGGATTAGGAAATCAAGCTAATCTGAATGTTAGGAATGAAGACAGTTACACCCAGAACAGCTGAGCTATGGGAGAACGTCTCTGAAACCAGTTAACCCTACTGGGTTGTTCTGGGTGTCTGACAGGAAAAGAACCAGCTTCCTCCTGACTGGTGTCCATACTGGGAGGACTTTTCCTCCTGACTGGTGTCCATCCAGGTTGTGTGTCAACATGGAGGGAAGCGCGCTGTCGAAGGCGGCCCACCGTTTGGGAAGGTGACGCCATGTCAGTGACATCCGTCACGCCATCTGGGTAAAGAAGATAAACACTTCAAAATCTCCAGACTGAGAGCAGAAAAGAAAAAACAGAGTGGATTATGCCAAACCTACAAAATGCTACAAAATATGTAAACAAGCTTTTATAATGTTTCAATAATAAAATTTATTCTATTTAATTAGTAAAAATGCTGCCTCATACCATCTGATTTTAGAGTTCTGTGGAGGAAAACTTTATTATTTTATCATTATTATGACTTTATTCACAGATCATACAATTTTTCATCACAATCCTCTGTTTCCATTACAAGAAAAAATGTAAGTATTTGTAGTAATAATATAAAATGTAATTTCATTCACAAAGTTCTTGTGTTTTTTCTTTTTACGGACAGTTAATTTGGTCTTTTTCTTGAAATAAATGTTTCCATTTCTTGCTTGTTTGAGACACAAAATGAGCATCAGAAATAAGGTTTAAATCAATTATTCTAAGAATATTTTTAAGACTAAATAAAAAAAAGATTTGATGAAAATTTAAAAGTAAAAAAATTAAGGGATTAAATTCCTTAAATTATTTTTGCTTTTCTTTCATCAGTTTCCTTGTAATTTTCTTAGGCTCCCACAGCGCCCCCTGGCAGTCCGACTTTGAATAACACTGAATTGAATCCACAGCAGTTAACCTGAGCTGGTTGGTTTGGGAGTCCAGTGGGGTAAAAACAATCCCAGTTAGAGGAAATTTCCAGTTAAAAAGACAAGACTCGTTTTTTGGTTCTAAAAATAAAAAAAGACCTTAGAGGAACAGATGATGCCTTCAAAGACATGTCCATTCCCAGGACATTTCTGTATTTTCTGGTTCTGAACTGATCTTGATGTTTTGGATTATCTAGAAAACTGAGACTCTTTCCACCTTTAACCTCTTTCCACTGTTAAACTTCAAATTAAATGGTGGAAACTTTAAGCTCTTTTAATTCAAATTCTGCAGAAATTGGTGAACTTCCATCATATAAAATCCCAGCAGCCGATAATTTGTATTTCTGTCACCAAATGTGAAAAAATATCAGGGGTGTAAATACTTTAACTGCTGATGTTTCCTCCTGTTGAGTTTGTTCTGGTCAGTAGAGACGATTAAAGAGCCATAAAGATGCCACCGACTGCAGGTGAAGTTTAATAAGGTTTATTCAAAGTCAACAGCAGCAGGAAACATGGAAACATAAATCCAGAGTTCAGTTAAACTAAAATGACAAGAACATAAACTCAGGACCTCACAGAAGATCCGACCCGGGAGGAAAGAAGCAAACCTGCGACTAAAAATGAAACGATGGCAAATCATAGAGAATGAAAAAAAGAGCAAATTTATGCAAAAAAAAAAAAAACAACTCAGAAAATTTGAAATGAAACACAGAGATTTCTTATAGAAAACAAGAACATTTCTCAGTTTGAAAAGTTGAAAATTTGCTAGAAATTTTTTTAGATGAATCTCATAAATTTCCTTGAAAAATCCAGGAAATTTCTGAATTTGAAAAGTTGAAAAATTGCTGGCTGGAAATTTCAGAATTTCCAAAGGTAGAAATTCTCAATTTCATAACCTAATTTTTTT